AGCCAGAACTTCAACATTCTTCCAATCCTTTTGGAATCGCTTGGTCCCGGATCTCACATTCACCAAAATCTATTGAACTTCTTCAACCACATAAAAGTTTACAATCTAATTCAAATAAATTGTATGATATAATGTAATATCAACATTATATGTAATTATATTTTATAACTACTGTATTAAGGCGTGTAATCATATTATATTATTATATATAATGGGCATTAATATCCATTAAGTATATAGTTAAAGTTGCCCCGAGGCGGCGAGGCTCCATTGAAAAGAAATCTAGAATATGCAATTAAAATACAACATTTTTAGGAGGAAAATATTTTTCAATCAACAAGGTATAAGACAGCATGCTGCTGTAGTCATGGAACTCGAGGGAATTTAATTTCAAAGCAATTAACTATGTATAATGTATATAATGATGGAAATGTATCAAAATTAAACTGCCTGTCAAATACATTTTTCTGGATAATAGGGAAAAATCTCTTTATTAGATTAAAACTTAATTTCAATACAACATTGTTCAAAGTTTGATACGTCGATAGAAATACAAAATATAATCATTTTATGTTCGGTGTTGTTATGATTAATATTTAATCGTTAAAGTTGTATAGAACCTACCTATAAAGCATACTATAGTACATAAATCAATTTTATAGGTGCATTCGTATATACTACCTACTGTCTACTATTCGTCTATACGTTTACTAGTATCTATATACTGTTATATATATTGTTACATAGGTACATGTTTCTTGTTCCAAATATTGCATTGTACTACGCTGTACTTGAGTGCACGGAGGAAAACTTTAAGTAAACCAGGTCACGCGAGTATCTCATAAAGTCATAAATTATTGTATGAAAATATTATATTACACGAAGCTGTAATTTGTACGAAAAAAAGCAATTTCTTATCAAATGTTGGAGCCTGTATGTATTATTTTATATACAATGATGATATTTAAGAAAAATAATTTAAAAAGCATGAAATGCTGGTCAGTAGTCACCATGAATTGTCCATGATTTTTTCAAATGTAATTCAAAAATATTATAAAAAAATATCAAACTTAAAGTTGAGCTTAGGCTTTTAACCTGACACAGTAAATCACAACACAGTAAACAGTTTAAATTATTGTACCCGTAAACAGAGAGGATTTTGTATTGATCCACGAGGGGTCATAGCTGTAAAATAGAGTAGTACCTTAATGTGTGCGTGTAATCCTACTCACGCCACTGACTAAGACATTACATTTTAGCAAATACAAATAACAATATAAGTACTACGCAGGGATCTCAAGCATCAATGTTCACCCTAATGGCCTAATACCCTATTTGGTCTATTCCAGCTGGCTCCAAAAGTACATAAAGTCTGTACCTCACGAACTGCAGCAGTAGCAGATAATATTGGTAATTATCATAAACGTAATTCGTAAAATCGTAAATACACATATTATTATACTATAACATAGACCGTCTAATGTGGGTGTCTTGAGGGGGCTGACCCTCTTCCCACACAATGTCTAAATTTAAAAAAGAAGTGTTTTTTTTATGCATTGGTATTTTATAATTATTATCATCTGTTAAAAAATTTTTTATTGAAAAAATTCTATTTTACGTATTTTTAACTTCAAATGCGTTTTTTTTGGTTACTAATTAAATATTTTATATTTGTTCGAAATTGTTATGTATTATTTATTAGTTACAGATATTTTCGTTGTCAACTTTATAAATTGTAAATTATTTAATTAATTTTTCATAAACATTTTAGATTTTAATGACCACATCTCTTTATAATTACCTGTTAGATTTAGCGCGTTCACAGTACATATTATATAGTTACAATAACCCACATTTCTCGGCCTTTCTTATACGTCTTAATAGTTTTTATGGCCATAATAATATGCAGTTAATTTTTATAGACACTGTAAGTTCAAAATCATATATATTATGTAGGTACTATATTGTTATTACCTCATATACATATGTAGTTACCTAGTTCAATGTAAATACCAAGTAACCAAACCTACCTCTACACACCTTAGAACAGTGTTGACAGGATCGTGGTATAAGTAGATTAAGATTTGCCTCAATATTTTGAAAATGTTTTTATATACATTATACCTATAGCTGTTAGCTGATGATAATAATAATAATAATAATACCTATACGGCTATCCTGCTATAGTGTTCTATACGTAATGGTGAAAAGTCGCAAGTCCTTTCAATTAACAGAATAACTATATAGAACCGTTAGAAGAAACAATATCGTTATTTTTCGTTTAAATATCCTATTTCTTCCAGGAGTGTCGTCAGTGGGCGGGTTTTCCTATCAAGTATCGTCTCTGTTAAATCTTCTTCTTTCATATAATTTAGGCTTATTGTACAAAATATGTGTAGATAGTTTAATTTAAAATAAAAGTTCAAACCATTACGTATAGCAGTATAGGTATTACTATTTTACTATTATCATCAGCTATGTACAAAAACATTTTCAAAATATTAAGACAAACCTTAATTTATTTATACCACGATCTTCTTAACATTGTTCTAACTACGAAGGTACCTATTGACAGAGTACTATGTAACTATATTATATAAGTTAATAACAATACATTACCTATGTGATTTTTTAATATCATAAACTATAATATAATATACCCGTATATATATTCTAAGTTTTTGAAAAAAATTAGTTCAACGATTCACGGTACACCGAAATACCTTACGTTCGGCATGTCCGTATTATAAAATAAAATAAATTTCTATACATAAAGTATTAAATAAACTTAATAGTACCTGATACAAATAAATTATAAAATTCAATAGAATTATTAGATGCTGAAACAGGTTTTCGGTTGGAATCGTATTACATATGCAAACATTTTTTGAGTAGGTACAAACCTTTAAAGTTAAATTTGAAATAAACGATAAACGATTACATAAGAAAAAGGATTCTGGACTAAGACGATCTGTCAGCCTATATAGGCTAGTTATATTTAGTAATATTACTAAGTATATTTTATGATGTATATTTTACATGCTATTTAAATTTTAAAGTAATATTTATTTTACTTTTAGTTTTAAGGTAGGTTGATTTAATTTTCGGTTGAAATCGTTGAATTTGTATTTTGTTATAATAGTACCTATATATTTATATCATGTATTTTAATTGATAACTATTGAGTATAGAGGCGTCAATTTTTTTTTGGGGGAGGGAGGAGGGTAGCAGGGTGTGCAACTGTACCACTAACTTAAAAAATGTTAAAAATTAGCACACCATTAATACTCCAATGCGTGGTCATAATTAACTTATACATTATGATTTCATATATAAGTAATGTAAATAAAATTTTTTTTTTTTAAGTTTTTGTACCTATATATTTTTGGTTTATCACGTTTATTAATTATATCTTATTATATCTTATAGTGAAATAGCTTTAGCTGGTTGTTTTAATTGCGTATAAGATTTTAATTCTTTGAATTTAAAAATTGCATTAGTCGTTATGAGTTTCAATTAGAATTATAAGAGAGAAGGAAAGAATATTTACATAGGTTTGCATAGGTTACCTATAGCATAAAATCATTTTAAAAGTTTTGTAAATTGTATAGTTTATATTATAAGAAAATATAATATACTATAAATTAGTATACTTAAAATATTGAACTATTGAAGTCTCCATGAAAAATATTTTTAAATTACAACAAAATAATTAAAACTGTCCTTCTTTGTTTTCATATCTAGTTCAAATTTTAATTTCTAACGTCTGTAAAAAAGGTTGTTTGACTATTTTTTTGATTTTTTGATTCTAGTATGAAATATTTATAAAGAATCTTGTATTACATTTGCAAGTTTAAGCTATACAAATTGTACATTTTTTACATTTTATACTAAAAAATAATTCGCAAATGTTTGCGTTTATGACGAATTTTGTCAGAATTTGAACTTTAAAATATGCTTATAATAAATATTGTGAATATGTATCTTTAATATTTATACAAAAAAAAACTAAAGAACTATAAATAGTTCAAAAAGAGTCAAACTATTTTGAAAATCATATCATACATCTGCTAATATTAACATTTGATGAATGTTTCTAGTACCTAACTACGACGGTTATGATTGTTTATAAATTACAAAAAAACATAAAATCGATTTTATCAAATACTGGTTTTGAGCAGAAATTTCATTTCCTCAAATTTTTGTTGTAGTTTAAAATTACTGAGAAAAGTACTGGAAATCGATTAATTTTGACCCTCTCGCAGTATCAGTACATCCAGATTCCTTTTTCTTCTAGAAATCCAAGTATTTTTACTGCTCCAAAAAGTGACGATAGAGGAACACATTGTAAAATCAATACATTCATCACTTCGCTGAGAATTTAAAATCATTTACATTGTCATGATATTAAACAAAAATTGAATGACTCCATTATGCATGGTCATATCTTTATCCTATAGGTACACAATATTACCATATAGTGTATTAAATCTACATAAAAATTCGATTTTATGAATAAAATAATAAATTGCGCATTTTGTGTCTATAGACAAAATCGTTATCGCGATGCAGCGACGAGCTCTACAGCAATACTAAACTCCGCAGCAACAATAACAACGCACCTATTTAATACCAACTATTACAATATCGTCCTCGAAAAAAGGGTACACTGCACAACCGTACGACAAATACTACCAATGTACCACACATGTGCATAGCAATAATATAGCTATGTACGCAAACTATTATATTTCACGCCGCAAAGCGTCCGCAAAAATCGTGGGACGTAATTAATACGACGGCGGGACGCACGTCGACGACGGTGCGCGCGTGCGCCCTCTCTGCGGCGTATCGACCGGCCTCGAGTGACGGCGGCGCGGTGGCGGCGTCGTCGTCGTAAAAAGCTCCCCGGGCCCACCCTCGCACGCGCGCGCCTCGCTATCGACGGCCACCGCCGCCGCTGCTGTCGCTACACGCGCGCACCCTCACACTCGCACACCCGTACACACGTAAACGCGTACACACCACGTACACCGGACGTTCGTTGTGTTGCGTACGCGGTCGGTGCGTGCTAGTCGACGGCGCACCAGTGTGCTGCAGGGGATGACCCGGAATCACCACTCGTCAGTGTCAGCCACGTCTCGAACGCGCGACAATCGCGTGCGATAATAATATTAATAATATTTCGCCGTTAACATCAGCGTAGGTCGTATAACGTTGCAGTCCTACACGGTGCGAATCTCGCCCATCGGCGTGTCTCTGCAGGCCAGCTCGACGCGCGCGCCGCCGAATGCGCTGCAACCGCAGCTGCGGGACGGCCGCCCGCGCGACGGCTGCCGCGAGGCTCACGCGGCCGCTATCGATTGCCGCGGTCGGCCACCGTTAGGACGACTGTGCGAGCGGCGGACATCGACGAAGACGCCTCCAACAACGACAAAGACGTCGGTAAAAACAACCACCTCGGTGAAGATAACGATAACAGTACGAATAGGACGTGCTGCCACATCAGAGGAACTCGATAACCGCCGTCAAGGACCTGCGGCTGCGGCGGCCGTTGCCTCTGCGAATGCACCGGCACTCGCGGCACCGCCTGCACGCTCGTGCCTGTCTGCACCGTTAACAGCCCGGCTATCGGCCATGGGAACCGTGCTCAGCATCAGCCCTAAAGACCGCAAGTCCGTGTACCCGGCCATGGCCAGCAGCGCCAGCGCGGCCGAGTTCACACTCAGCAGCTTCACATACGAACAGTTGACCAAGCGCCGCCACGCCGACGTCATGGCCGGCCGTAGCATATCCATGATGCTGCCGGCCAATATAAACATAAATACCATCAACAACAACATCATCAACAACAACAACAACCACAACAATCACCACCACAACAACAACAATTCTGAGAACAACTGTAAAACGGCGACGACAGGTGGTGAACCGCATCAGCAGCAGCAGCAGCAGCAGCAGCAGCAGCAGAGAGGAGCGCTGGAAAAGAGCTTGAAAAAACATTCGGCCTTGATCAATGCGCTCAGCTGGAAGCGGTTTAGCACGTCTCAAAACAAAAAGAAGCTGGACAATGGTGGCACAGCCGGAGGCGGCGGCGTTAAGTCCAAGCAACTGTTAGCAGGTCGGCAACCGTTGGTGGACACTAACGCCAACGTCGATTGTGGTGGCCGGTCCAATGGCGTTCGCCGGTCGGCCACCACGACCGGGCTGGATGTGGCCAACAACAACAGTGGCGGAGCCGACAAACTGGTACCCAGGGCCACGCTGGTGCCTTCGCACACGTGCCACAACCTCGTGCCACGGAAGACCATCATACAGGCAAGCACGTCCGAGCTGCTCAAGTGCCTGGGCATCTACTTGCACCACAAGTGCTACAAGCTCAACGATTTCCAGGCCGGCGACGCAGTCATGTGGTTAAGGACGGTGGACAGGAGTCTACTAATACAGGGATGGCAGGTAACGCGCATTATTTGCATATTTTATACATAATATTACATTAATGAATAATTATTGTACATGGTGGATTTCATTTTTCGTTTTGATTTTCCTTAAACGAGGAAAACTTGAGAGTTATAAACAAAATGGTACACGACGGATTTGTAGCAAAACATTGTTTTCGGAGTACGGCGGGTGCATTATACGACTGGTCCGTCGTCCGTGCATATTTTATAAGCGTATTGCGTATGTATATAATATATTATGCTTTCGTCGATATATATATAACATATTCTCATAGCGCCGTCGCCGCCGTTTTGCAAACGATTCGACCCTCTCGTATGCCCACCCACCTCCGACCATCCCCTTCCTCCGGCTGGCACACAAACCCTCGCTGACGCCCCACGTCTCCCGTCATACGACACTCATCCCCCACCCATCTGCAACCACCCCTCCGGTCAGTCACTCCCTTATACCCTACACCACCCCTCCATCAGTGCCAGGCCGTGCGCGTCGCGTGATTTACGCGCCGCCGAGTTCACCGCCACCGTCGCCCTACGCTATCCCGTCGACTACCTCACACCCCCGCCGGCGCCACCAAGACTCTATATATTATGGTATATACGCGCACGCGGCCTCAGCCGTTCTCCCCTTACATTTTATACGAATTTCGCAGCACTCTTTGCCGTGTTGACGGTCCGATGACGTGTACTATAACTTAAGAGAGTAAAAACTCAATTTCCCCTTTTGAACGCCGCGTCGTCCCCGTTTTTCGCTCACCGTCGCGATAAATTACTTTGTATATATACGAGCGTCGATTATTATTATGCAGCCTTGCCAGAAGTCGTCGGAGAAGGTCCCCCGAGTATACATTGTATATATATATATGTATACTATTATATACTTTTGCAACCCCCGTCCGAAAAATGAGGGTGAAATAAATAAAATTCCGACGTCCGCAATATATACGCGTAAAACACTTGTCGTCCCGCATAAATGTAATGCTGCAGCTAATCATTATATATATTGTTATATTGCCATCGCCAAGATTCTTAGAGAATTTTCGTAACTACGGGATGTATCTATAATCAATAATTACACACATGCATAATAAAAAAAGTATTGATATCTAGTTAATAACGCTACCTACTATAAAATGATTAAAAATTAAAAATTAATAAACTGTATTTTAAACCATCTATTGTTTTAAAAATTAATTGCATTTATTGAAAGTAGAGTACTGGTACTGCACAATCCAAATGAACTCGTGTAAGGTGACGCGAAAACGGTTGCTTATAAATCCAGATTATTACGGCCAGAATTTCTTCGCCACACTAAAAAATACTACTTGGCATACTCACGGACTTGAAAATCTAAATAAACAAAAATAGCACATCACGAGTAACCATCTATAGGTACCGAAGTACCGTAAATAGTCCTCGTGAGTTTCGAACTTCACTCGGTTTTATCGATAAATATTTCAGAGCCAACCTCCCGAATGCGTCTTAAAAACATAGTGCGGTCTTATACAAGCCCGCGTGGTCCATAGTTGGACCGCGGTAAGCTCGGCCATATTTCATATTGTCATCATATATGCGGTTAGTTATACAACGTGGCGAGTTTAACCGCGATATTTTCCGCTGGTCAGCAGTATTACACCAACGGTCTTGACCATCCGTTTTCTAACTCAGGTTCATTGTAACTTTTAATCTAACCGTGGTCGTGGAACTGTTATTTAAGGGGTGTGTATAAAGTGACACATATAATCGCCTATTTTTCGGGGTAGTAAAAGTAGAATACACATCAATCACTTAATTAAACTTACTCTTGGGTTAATACTTGGCTACTTCCTAGGAGGGATAGCGACAATTTAATACACCTCTGCAATGTTTATTTAGAATTTATATTACATTTACGTATAATGTATCAAATGTGTACAATGTATATCGTATAATATAATAATTATAGGTTTAGATTATTTAAGTTAAACCTTGATAAAATAGTTACTCGACATTTAATTGCATTTAACTCGCACTAAAATTCGTCAAACGCTTTATTAAAATGCAAAAAGGAGAAAAGACAAACAAGTAACAAGTCTACAATATAGAATGCAAGTTACAACGGCTACAGTAACGGATTATATACAGGCATGCGCCTACATTGATTTTTTCAGTTTCAAAATATAAGTCTCTTTGACCGCAAATAAACAAATACATTTTTTTCCCCATTGATATTTTATCAAGCGTAGATAAAACGATAAAAGCGTTATTTATATTGTTATAAGCTTATGACTTCACTGAATAAAATAATAAGTTATACCTAACTTAAACCATAATTAATTTAATGGTAAAAACATTTTAAGGCTACTCGCTGATACTGAAATCCATCGCTTAAGCCTTAAATTCCAGCTAGTGTCAAAACAATTAATTATGCACTATTATACAGAGGAAAATATGGTTTATGGAGTTGGGCCACACGTTACTTTTAAAACAAAAACTTTATTTATTATTCTGTTTTCTTTAAAAAAACAAAATTTGATTTTTTGTGAGTTCAACTGTTTTGGAACTATGTACCTACACCTCGTCTATCTTTACAATATACATATCGACATATCGTGTACATATTCTTTGGGTTGAATGAACCACCGATAAATTGACTAATGTGCGTGCACCCGAGCAATTTCAAAGTCTTTTAGATACATACATATATAATATATATATACCTATATACATATATACATTGCATTTATTTTATTTTATAGTTTACAGTGAATATAAATTAATAGAAATATTTATATACAATATACATTATACATATACATTATTCACAACTGTCAACTTCCAACTACGTTCGGTGTATAAAAGTCATAATTCGTATTTTTACTTTTAAACTCGGTAGTTTTTATTACAATAATATAAACGAAAACCGTACACAAAATTCTCAATAAAAACTTATTTAATACGGCATAAATACGGTAATTAGTACCTACCTAATAAATAATAATGCATTTATATTCGCTTATATTAAGGAGATCAGTATAACATAGGAGAAAAAGGTTATACTTGGTGAGAAAATTTCTAATATATCTCTAGTCATGTGTATCGAATATTTGATAATATTGTTATAACAAACGACGTGCTGCAGAGAAGAGAGGTTATTCAAAAGATTTGTGTAATGGTGATATCAATATTTTTATTGTGCATCCGTAAACACTGTGTAGGTTTAAATAGAATTTAAAACTTGGTCTTAGGTATTATATGTTTATAGTTTATACGGGGCTATTGGTATGATGATATCAGAAAATTAGGTCGGTGCCGTTGCAGAATGTTTCTAGTTTCTACTATGATCAACTTAATATTCATGTACCTATTAATTTATTATTAACCTAATAATATTCATAAACATACACTATAGCCTAACAAAATTCGTGATATAGATATCGATATATACTATAAGGCTATTAGCTGATATACCGTATTACACCAATTTTAAATTTAAAACACATTTTGTAAATTATAAAATATAATTATTTATAATTATTACACAGAGAATAGAGATAGGTATTAAAAGATCATTTCATAAAAGTGTGCTCAAAATAGTTCAATTTAACATGTGTATTTTTGCAAATGAAACTATATAAATCAATAAATTGTGTATTATTTTAACCATCAAGTGAATACAAAATAATAACCATGGTTATTTGCATGCGAATCGATAGCCGAATCCGACGATTTTTCGAGCTCAAGTCGTACACACAATTTAATTGTCTTTTATTCTAAAATATTTTGGTAAATGAACGTAAAATTACAGAAGCAGATTCTTTTTACAAAACAGTATAATGTGTAATTAAAATACATTTTGGGTGATAAATGGATTATAACGATGAATATCTCGAGATTCAATAAATAAACTACAATATATATATATATATATTAAAGAAATAAAACATAACTAATGATAACAGATTTGTAGTTTGTAAAATCACGTAGATGCAGTACAATTTGAAACGATTTACCTACTGAATTCTACAGATTTTAAATATTTGCCACCAAACACCATCCGACATCCGTCATCGATTTATATGATTAGATAATAGAGATAGGTAATCTTATATGCATAATGGATATAGCGTATATTAATTATTTTTATGTTATTATATTAAGTTCATAGCCATCATATTATATTATACTATTATGAATTATAGTACGCCTGTCGCATAGGTATCAAATTTAATCCTGATTAATTATCGAATATAACAGAGGGTGCCGATTTTTATTACGCGTACGATAGGAGTCCCCAATTTGAGATAATAATCAATAATGGTGGGTAATCGGATTAACGAAAAAAATACAGTGCCGTTTTGTACCAATATTTGTACTTCAGGGTTAAAATAATAAACTACACAGACACGCGTGTATCCGTGTGGATGATCTATGAATCATTCGCATACGCCCACCCTGTCACAGTGTCACGTAATATCATCATAAATTTCATAAAATAACAACATAATATAATACGGCAAACGCCCGATGATAAACATTAAGCTCTCACTTAATATTTCACCATCATAGCGACACATGACATTTTATGCGTATCGCGTATAGGTACCTACACACATGCCGCTATGCCAAAAAGTCAACATGAATGTTGTGAATTTTAATGAAATGCTAATAAAGGCCTAATGAAGATTATATATTATTATATATTCGAGTATACATCTTTATTAATATTATTTACTTTTCGAGATTTAAAACATCGTATTTATACTCTAGATTTACTACCAATATGCTGCTAAAAGCTAAAAAATCTGCAACTTATCCATTATTTTTGAAGAAGTAATTTAGATTTGCTTAAATAATTGATTCTTATATTTCATACCTAGTGTAATATCATTATAATTGATTTTTAACGAATAATTCACTACGCAGCTGCTCAAGTCCAACCTAACACTACATTTTAGGCTTTAATAGCATTTAGGTGAAGCTTGGTTCAGATAATTGTAGTGCATACTCCCTAAATTTGTCTAATATTTATACCAAAGAAAAGTTTGAAGTTGGAATATTTGAAATTATATATTTAGGTCATAATTATTAGAAATGTTAAAGTTATGTTGAAGTTTGACAATTAGAAAAGTACGAAAACAGTAATATATCATGTTTAGATTCTGTGAAGGCTGTAGTATAAGAATTAAGAACAAAATATACAATAAATTAAAATTAAAATTTTAGGATAATTATTAATTAAATTAAATTTGTTTGCTTGAGTTAAGCTATATTTTAGACTAACATGCACGATTTAAACAATTCACTATAAAAAAAAAATCAACTATTGCGTTTCATATGATAGAATATTGGAGATTACCTAATCTTTTTAGTTTAAAAAATCATATGTTATAGGAGATTACTTAACTTTTTTTAGAATTTAGTATTTTTAATATTTTAGAAAGGTTATTTTTTGGAAGTTTTCCATCCTTTATATATTTAATATTTGTGTAACATTGGCCGTTGAGGATCAATATTGTTATCTACTGTGTGCTATCCATTAGATAGTGTATAATATATATGCCGTGTTTAGGTTTTATTAAGGACCATGTTTTCTTTTGAAGAAATTCGTGATTATATGGTAACCATAGTATTCATTTCTACAGTAGGTACTTAAAATAATACTTGAATATTATTACCTAACTGGTTATATTTTATGGTTCACTTATCAAAACACATCAAACAACAAAAGATTCACTTCATTTTGGTGCTCTATATATATTAGAAACAAAATATTTTCTTCTCGTAAATAATGTATTTAAAAAAAAAAATATTTTTCACATCCAATAAATTATAGGTGGCTATTTTATTTATATAAATAAAAAATAGTTACATACGTCATAACTCATATGTTTATGTTTATTTAATTTTTTGATATTACCTATCAATTATTGAATAAGAAATTATCGACTTTTCTTAAATTTAATATAGGTTGAAGAATTTCATGAAAATGGAGTAAATTTTATACTACTGTATATTTTTAATTTAACCATTCAATCGCTTAACTTAATAATATCCGTAGTTAGACAATAGTTAAAAAAAATAAAAATAAAATTCACATTTAATAATAATAATTTTTTTTTTTTATTGAACTTAAGCCCCATGACTAAGATTATTAGCTGTTGTAGGGGATATGAACTGTGGTAGGGGTAAGGTGGGTACTGGGTACGGTAGGTTATTTTTTTTATGTGTGGCAAGGTTTTTAACTACTATGAACCCGGACGGTCACCCATCCGGGAGCTAGTAGCTGTGGCCGTTACTTACTCCCAGTCGCATTCTGCTACTGGCAACAGCCAACGCGCCACGCCGAGCTACTTAATTTCAAATTTATATGATTCGGTGCAATAATTGTATCACATATACAATGTTTATCCTCATACCGTACCCCTCTTATCTACGTGTACAAATCAACGATGATGGGTTCCGTGTTTTTACAATGCATTTTATACTTTTCAAGTTTTCTACTGTCTATATTATGGTTCAGCAACAATAAAAACTGAGGGGAGGGGATCAGGATAGAGTTGATGGGAGAACGCGTATTAGTCGTTTTGTGTTCAAAGATCAAGTATTCAAGTACAACTAATACCGTATTTATCTGAACCTCCCTTTTCCGTTTATATAACATAACATGCATTTGGACTAAAGGGATTTAACCACGACTCTATAGTGCGAGGAACGTTGATGTGCATTGTACATGGTACATAATATATATAGAATGTACGTGTCCGTGGAGACGAGTGTAAGTGAGTAAAATCGGAAGAATCTCATCAACAGCGATTAAATAATAATACACTTCCCGGCTACATAGCCACTGGCCAGTGTCGGAACGCGAAATAAACCAAACGCTGAGTGCCGCCATGGTGATTTGCGGTGGCTTAAATCGACCCGATTGAGACGTGTTCGGATTTAATTTCTATCCACTCACAACCAGCAATAGAGGGTCATGCGAAAATGCGATCAAATGGTAATATTAGTGTAAGTCGTTGGTGTACAAATGGAAAGTGCTTGTTTTTCGTTAGCATTTATTGAATATTTATATTTATTTATTAACAAAAATATGTTTTTGAGCTGGGTACACGTTAAAATGTTTCTGACCGGTCTTCGCAAGGTTTTTGTTGTCATGGTTACTAAAAATACTTATTAACATAAACATATTAATGATTCATAGATATTCCTTGTAAAGGAAAAATATCGAGTAGCGTGCTATGGTTTTTTTTTTATACTTATTTTAAATAATTCGTATACTGTAGACTTTAATACATAATTAATAACTGTAGGTAATTTATACTTATATGTATATAATCTATTCATGATATTTATTATACTTTTAGTTATTATACTAAATTTTCGTCAATTTTTTACCGCTTTGGTATTTTTTTGATCTTGAAACAGATAATTTAATTCTTCCGAACTGGAAAAAAATAATGGCTGGGATGTATATCATATTATAACAAACCGTCGAAGCGATTGCTTAGTTGATAGATCTGTGCAAACAATCAACTGTTTACTTAAGAAATGTAATGATGACTAATGAATAATGAGTATAATTTTAACTACAATGTTGATCTTATGCAGATTAAAAATACAATCTTGTCCTCCTATGTGTCCTCCCTCATACTCAATTTTATTTTCACAATTAGAAATATTTTTATCTATAACTTAAAATAAAACAAACTTTTATAATTGTATTAACTTATTTATTGAACAAATATCCTGACTGTTATATACTACAAGATAAAATAAGATTAATGATTTTTAAAGTAATAAACTTATAACCTAGAAAGCAGAAGTATATTCAATTTTTAAAGGTGATCCAGTGATTTTAAACTAAAAGATGGTAACCACTCTGGTATATATGTACAGTGGGTGTCGTGCGTATCTCGCCATTTAGGAGTAAACCACTGTATAATGAATATGTTTAATTTTTTAATTATTGCTTACGAAAAGCGATTTAGAGCGAAGATAAACTGTAAGCCTATACATTACTAAGTATATTTTATGAAGTTTCTACATTGATGTTAATAAAAATAAAATATTGATGGTCATTTATTTTACTATTAGTTGTAGGGTTTTTTTAAAATTAACTTTTGCCGAAAACACTGCATTGAAAAAAGTCATCGTGTATATAAAATATAATAATATACGTTAAAAATGTGATGTACTCACGAATAATATTGTTAAATTATAACAAATAATTACTAAAATCGTTATCCTTCGTTTAAGAATCTTATTTCGTCTAAATTTAAACTGAAAATGCCAATATAAATATATAATATAAAATGATAGATGAAATATCATTGTAATATTAATACATATTGGTATATTTTGTTGACTTCAATACTATGTTTACTATACTTATGTCGTTGACACGTGTTATAAGAAAACGTGGATTGCATTGAGTTTTCAGTATACTCATTACCTAGTCAATATCATTTACTATTGCCGAGTAGAGAAGTATTGAAAAAATAAATATACGCTACATTTAATATTATAAGAAAACATTTTAGCGGGTTAAAAATGTGTTTACGTTGTAAAGTCGTTTATATAATAGTTCCTATAGTTGCTATGAACAGTGCATTTATTTATTTATTTATTTTGTAACAATATATAATACATACACCGGAGAGTATGGGTAACCAAGAAAATCAGCAATACTAAAAAGCTTAAGTGCTATAAAGTATAAAAACTCTTAAATATATACAACTATAATATGTATTATACATTATGTATCATAATACCGAGACTGGGATGAACGAGTGAATGGGAGAATGGTCCATTTTATCGGTAAAATGTTGTTATTTTGAAACCATGATATTCTATAGTCTATAGACTATAGAGCACAGATAAAGTTCCAGCTGATGGTGTGTTTGAATTATCTATCCGGGGCATAGTGCGATCCAAACAATGTGTGTCGTTAAAACTTAATTTTATCATTAAAATATCATAGATTAGGTTAGTTTAGGTTAGGTATACTATGGTATTATATGAGATACCGTAAAAAGGAATTGACAGTAAAGTTGTACCCACGTCGGAACAAAAAATTGTAAAAGTCATGTTCTCATGTCAAATGTATCAATAAACTGTTGAAATTAAAATTATGATGAAGGTATAATATATAATATCATTACTGCCTTATGCCGCTACAGTGTCCTACGGTGCTGCAAGCTTACAGGTGCTAATAAACGTCATGTGAAGAAACAAAAAAGTCTAAATATCGAATAACTTGAAATCCTTGTACCTCTTTTACTTAGGAGTTTGAATGTTGATAAAGTTCGATTCGTATTCATACATAAAAATCACGCATACAACGAGTTTACGTGCAATACACTCCAAAATTACTCAACTGATTTTGATTAGATTATGCTCAATGTGTGTGATTTGGTCTAACTTAAAAACTATATCCTACATTTTAAAAAATATATTTTTTTTATGATTTATTTATCAATCATATTATGTATATGTCCGTATACGATATATAAGCTCATGTGGTTTTTAAAATATATTATACGTTATTATAAATTAAATAAATTGTTATTTTCACTCGCCATCATTATAATATAGTGTGTATCATTTTTGCATTGCTGCAGGACGTGCCGTTCATAAACCCGGCAAACGTGGTGTTCGTGTACATGCTGGTTCGAGAGCTGGTCGACGAGCGCGTGGCCACGGAACCGGAACTCCAAGCCGTGGTGCTCACGTGCTTGTACTTGGCGTACTCGTACATGGGCAACGAGATTTCATATCCACTGAAACCTTTCCTGGTCGAGGATAGCCGGGACGCATTCTGGGACCGGTGCCTGGGCATCGTCCGCGCCATGTCAGCCAAGATGTTGCGCATCAACGCCGAGCCCGCGTACTTCACGGAGATCTTCAGCGAGCTCAAGGCGTGCGGTACGCTCAACGCGGTGTTGCAGACGGCGTGATGAGCGCGCCGCCGTCGCCATTCACCCGCAACCACCGCGAAACATGTAGCACAAACCGCGTCGTCGCCACCAGCAGCAGTTGAACACCAATGGCAACGGTAACGCGTCGCTATTAATATTAATTAACGTTACTATACCGTCGATCGTCCAAACCATGATGTTATTAGTGTACCTATTAATGATGTACATTTTAATATTATGTTATATATGTATTGGAACATGTCTTCCTACAGTGTCTACCGCGTTGTAAAATATTATTACTATTATTATTATTAATGCCATCGCGTACCCCCCTCCCTTTCCTTCCGACGGTCTTGACCCTATGCGAACCGCGTCATACATAAAGTTTGTTCCAACACGGAATCGCGGGACTAGTTGCAGACGGATCTGTGATTGATTTAATGCGCAAACGTGAACTGTGAGCTCTGTTGGGACGTGATTCGAACTGTACATGATGACAGTGTTTCTGACTACAAGCCACCCCCCTCCCCCCTATCGAAATCCCCGGATCACAGTCAAACAAATCCCAAAAACTGATCTAATCACGTGTTGGAACAGACACTTCTGACGGTTTGAGTTTGCGTTTCCGGTGTGTTGGAACGGAACAACTCTGCTGCACATACTGCCGCCGCTAGTGAGTTCTGTGATAGCGCGACCGCGTGTTGGAGCAGACTTATCGTGCACTTTCTGATAACATTAAACCAGCGATTTCGTGTATCGATGAGTAACTCTGTAGTATATGTATATGTTAACAAAATGATACCATTTTTGTACTACGCTGAGGTAATAGCTGATCGAACTCGAAACACAATTTAGGCACACAATATCATTATGTTCGAGAAGCATGCTGTTAGTATACTGCTCGGTTGTATACCATATTGTGATCGAAATATCACATATATAGGTACAAATATGTTTTGATTCTTAAGCTGATCTGACGCAGTACGTACGAAATTGCAGCGAAGAAACACCGCCGGCCGTAAAACATTATTTATTATTGTAATATATAGACTTGTGCGCAAGGGTTTCACCTAGCGTTTGCGCGCACCCGTCCACCCTCAACCTCCCATCATGTCCGTCCACGTTCTCGAATCGATAAATTCCACTGCCCGGGGTGCGCTTACCCACAGAAAATTTCCATGGATATGTTATATGCAGGCGGAGCGGATGTTTTTTTCAATCTCGTACCATTATAAAATCGTCTCGTTCGTTCACCGAAACCCAGAAACGTGCATAATCGTATTTCTCTCTGTATTCACCTCGTCGGTATCGGGGAATATTCGGTGACACTTCTCTAAAAGAAACCTAGGCTATTTCTTTGGAACTATACCTGCATAGGCACGGTTTAAGACGGAATGGATGCTAAGACGTTCGTGGGGAGGCAAAATACCCTACAAGCATATTATGATAGTATGATGTTTCGAAATGCATTAAACATTTTAAAACATTTGCAGGCGTCCGGGATTCAAATCGAATCTTTTCAACAAAAATAAAATGGGGGCTGGAAGCGTGTTACGCGAGGTCGGTCGCGTGCGCCATGTCAGGTTTTTTCGTGTCTCGACCCCAAAAAAGAAGGGTCTTCTACAGGATAGGGTGAAGTAATTTGTTTCTTTTTACATGCGCGTATAGGGTCGCGCTGTGCACGAATATTCGGAATAATAATTATACAGAGAGATTTGTCGTTTTACCTAAGTTTTAGCCGTCACGCAGCGCCCACCCTTGAAATCCATATGATCTATACGATATACCTCTTGGTTTCAACTCTCGAAACCATATAAAAATATAAAATCAGCAATCTGCGTATTATAACATAAATGCAAACCCCTATTTTAGTATGCGAAATGTATAAAAAGCAAATTACCAAAAATGTCTTTTTTAAACCAGGGACTGGAATAGTGGAATCCATCACCTATACAGGTATATTTAACGCGTATGCCATGGTTAGAGGATATATTATATTATACATTTATACATAATTTAAACCGCACACTATAGTCATCGTATACGCGTTTCCCATACAGTAATAGCGAGTCAACAGTATTACGTCCACGGGGATCGTATTTGCGGAGCGATTGATGTGTGTATAGATAATATAGTGGTTTTTTCTTATAATGTACCTATACTATATTTTTTTATCGAAAGACATATTATACTGCATAAACTATAATTAAACAATATAAACAACAATGTATAGCATAATTAATAATATTTCGAAGAAATCAACGGGTAGGTTTATATATATTTATTATAATAAATTATGTGTTTTAGACGTTTTCATTTTTTCAGTTTTTAATCCCTCGCCGTCACCCATTATGTCCCATAACTGTCGAAATCTCTTGCAATAATTTACAATAATTTTTTCTATCGCGATCGTGTAAGTATAATAATACTTTATATTACTATAATATATTATTATTGTTTGACGTCGTATAACAGCGATAACTCTGCCCCCAAAACACAAAACCCCCTCATACAATAATCACACGCACAACAGAAGGAAGGCATTTTACTTTATCGATTTGAATACATTATATTATGTAATAACGTAACACTGAACAAAATTAAAGGTTTTCGAGGCGATTTTCTATTTATTTCGTGGTGACCCAAACGCGTGTACGTGTGAGCCGGTGGGGTGGGGCACGTGATATACAAATTCCGCGGCCGCTCGACCCCGCGTAGTCGTACTTGCCCGTCGTTTGGACAACCGTAAAGCACGGGTTCAAAATTCCTCCATTTTTAAATAAAAGAAAAAATTATTATTATTAATATGGTAATTGAAGTTTGTTTTAATATAATTTTTTTATAATATAATAATATTATACTATAGGTAGACATAAAACGATGTTGTTATAACTTATAACTTTAAGTGTATCGAATTAAATTTGACAGGCCGTACGATGCAATATAATTATTACGATGTCATCATTGAATAAAATAATATCTAAGTAATTATTTAGACAAATATACAGCAATTTTTTTTAGATTCAACTGGTGTAGAATGTATTTTCCACCATATTATACAATTTCAGTATTCCATACAAAACATTCCATTTATTATATTAATTATTAATATAAGTAGACAACACATGTTGTAAATGCGTTCCAAACGCACTGCGTATATTAATATAGTTAATAACTAAATTAATCTTTGACTTTGTTATTATTATTATGTTGTACGTTTTCCCTTCAGAAGACTGACATTGATGAAATATTTTTTTTCATATTTTTACCCCTACTTTTTTAAAGTCCTTTTTAACGATTTAATATTTACTTTGAGTATTATTAAATAGATTATTGTTATTTTTAATGATGAATAAGTTATGTCGTATTATAAATATAAAGAAAGAAAATATTGAAATAAAAAATAAAATAAAAAAATAATTAAACTTAATTATTTTTAAGGCTGGGAAGATGCAATTCCGTAGGTTTTAAGTATACACTATACATCACTTTATTGTTACCCAATAATCGTATATTATATTATATACAATATTGATAATACAATTTTTTTTTTTTAGGTAATAATATAATATAATTTTTCTTTCCTTTTACGCTAAGTCCTTATATAATTTTAAGCATGTACCAATGATAATTTAATCGTTACCGTGACGAATGTGGCCATTTAATATTTCAAATATACCTTCTTCCCGGGCGACTGCACCGCTACCTAACACATAACACCGTTGAGGGTATGCGAATAATTGCGGTCAATAGGCACTCGAGGTCGAGGACAAAATGTAGTTTGTAGGCGTTTTGCTATATTTTTGTTTTGTGTTTTTACTGTTCTTTCCATTTTTATTCATTCAGTTCGTTTTTATTTCGTTTTTACCCATGACGTTATTGTTATGCGTATATTATTATTATTATTTTTATTATTATGATTATTAATATTACGGGGTCGTACGTGTATAGTATACTTTTATTATCACACGTCGACCAAAAACGCGAGTGGAGTCACTAGTCATCGTGATCGCGATTTCGATTGTAGTTTCTCGTTCGAGAAACCGTCCAAATCCGACACGACATTTAGTCTATAAGAATATTAGAACTTAAGTATTTATTTATTTATATATAATATATACATACATTATATACGTGTTTCAAATGATACGTTTAAGGTTTAATCTCATAGTCGTTTAATAAGATGTTCGTCGTTTTATTTTGTTCTTAATAACATTTTATCCCTGCAATTATTACAGCAACTTTCCAAGTGTTTTGAATGTTTGGATAAGTTGTTATTGTTTTTAAATACAGTAAGGCTACTATACATTTTCACCACTCTCGGTCCCAACCCTCTAATCGGCACAAACCAACAATGACAAAAAACATTAAAATAAACATTATTATATTATTATAATATTATTTTGGCCTCATGCGGTTCCGTTTTATTAATTTCTCCGAGTGTCACACATATAAATTAAATATACAATATTACAATTATTTTTACAATTTAGTCGAACGTCTTTAAACCATTTATGTTTTGTAAATATACATACATGTATAATTATTATAATTATATTGATATTATGTGTAATAATTATTAAGACATTTACTATTAATTGGGCGAAAAATGGCTGTTCTGAGAATGGAAAACGATAGAGACATACATCATTGAACGTTAATATTATTTTATTCGGATACCTTCATTCGTTCTCATTTCACAGGATACTATATAAATATATTTACCTATGTGCAGTATTAATATTTGTGATATCATATTTTAATACTGATTTTGTAATGCCGTGTCGCAATATCGAATTATGCATTAACCAATAAAAACAAAGATTTATATCTTTAGTATTATATAACTACCACTAATTCGGTCTCATTGGAGATCTCTAGATTTATCTCGAGTAGTTCAACTGGAACTTGTTAAGGCTAACCTAACTTTGGTTAAGCGTTCATAGGAAAAAAAATTATGGATCAAATCTAGGATCCAAGGCAGCAACTTTCGATAAAACTAAATTCGATTCATCTTACCTATCGATTTTCCAATATCTTTGTTCATCACTAATTATTATATATAGTCATTGACCATTGTATTATAAATATTATGTGATGCCCATGATTCAGAACGATCATTTTTCACCTCTGTTTTCTCGTTTTCTTTTTATTTGTGTTAAATGTAATTTTATTTTCGTTTCATTTATGTTGTTGTTTTTTAAATGAAAAAAAACATAAGAGGCAAGCTTCAAATGATCTCATGTTTTAGCTTTTCATGACGACCACGTTGAAAAATGTCGTCGTTTAGTTTTTGTCCCCGGGATAATCCGATAACGATTTCCCTCTCTCGCGGCGTGTATACTTAAACAATATTATTACTTCATAAACTTTGTGTAACTTAAATACTATTATTATTATTTTTATTATTATTATTATTATTATTATTATTATTATTATTATTATTATTATTATCATTATTATTATTAATATTAATATTATTATTATTATTGTTATTATTACTTTATGTTAATGGTATAAGGACAATATTGTTACCTATGTAAATTTTACACTAGCTAATAGTTGGGCTTTACCCAAATGTGTGCAATCAAATAATATTAATAACAATAATAATGATAATAATTATAATAATGCAAAATAATAATCGGTTTTGTTTTGTGTACCTAGTAGAATATTCCAAATAAAATTTGAACCTAATTTCCCATCACCTATCAAAAACCAAATCGTGCAATACAGTATGGATATATAATAATACGAATAACTTAAGTGTATATTATAATTTATTATAAATGTATAATTATTAAAGTCGCATGTTCCACGATTATATTAAATACTATGTATAATATGAACTTGAAAATATACGTGTTTGTTTGTGTACTTATATTTGTGTCTATATAATATTATAGTGATTAAAACATTTTGTGTTTCGATATACGATATATTTGTTGGTAGGCTTAAATTATTATAATTAAGTATATAATATTGTTTATTTGTGATTCTTGTCATTTTATAATGTTTTTAATACCTTTTCTTTTTCTAATTTTTTAGTTTTTTTTGTTAAAAATCAATATTTAATAGGTGTGTTAATCTATAAGTGAACAATGTTTTTTTTGTATTTTGAACAAAACTGTGAGAGAAAAAAATTATTGTGTGCTATTTCATTATTTCATTTTTGTTTTCAGTCACAATAGTATACATAATATATTCATTATATTATATTATAACATAAATCATAATATTATAATACAGCTCTATATATTTGACGACGTCGAGTTAAAAGAATTCTGAGGAAATATCAAAATTGTTTTATATACGTAGTACATAATATATTATTTCTAAAACGAAATAAACCATACAAATTACAAATGTCTTATATAATATATATATAACTTATATATATGTATAATATAATATAAGAGAGTGTAATGAACAGTTTTATGCAGTTCTACTATAATTTCAAATTGCAGTTGAATCGTTCCCAGTGGACGAATATTGCAGTGTTATATATTTTAAATCATACGAGTTATTGGTACGAGTTACCACTCACCAACCGCCAATAGTGAAATACGTGATATATATTTATATTTTATAACATGTAGCTGGTACGATGTACTATAATGTCTGTACCTACTACTTACCTATATAATCAGTATAATCTATATGCATTTTACTGTTTGTAAATAGCCGTAGGCCGTTGAGCAATGCTCATTGCAATTCATTGTCCGGTATGGTACATACAAAAAAAAAGTGGACCTATTTATACTATTGCCACTGGAATAAATTAAATTGTGGTAAAGTACTAAAATTATAGGATTAAAACATATTGAAAAGTGGCGACTTGTCGTAATTGAGTAATTATTCCATTACCAAGGAATAATTAACATGACTTTTTTATATGGCTTGAGGAATATCAGTGTAGTAAGAATTTTATGTCCGAGAACATTGCTAGTCTATAAT